AATATAGAGTTGTGCTTTAAAGACTTTTACTGATTATTCTATCACGATTTTCTGCAAGTGAATTTATATATATGTTGAAGCGAAATGATTTCTTGGCACCATAGAACTTTTAGTGCTTAAAGATACTTCTGGATTGTATTTGAAATTCAGTAGTTATTGATATAATCAAGTCACGTAATGTAAAATCATTATAAAATAGAAATAATTAGGAACATAAAAGTAACATTTTTGGACCATATCTCTCAGTAAGATGGATCAGGCTTTCCAAAGCAGGCTGTTGAGAAAGAAAACACTGCTCTTCTGATGCAGGGCTCAGCATTAGTCTGTTCCTCCTTTTCATCAAAATGCTAAGAAACCTTATTCACACATGAATAAACCGATGGGCGGGAGTTTTGTCATATCAGTGCCATTCCATTATTGAAGGTCCTTCTGGGTAATGTGCCCCAAATCACACGGCGAAGCGTCTTAGAATATGTTTTTAATGATCTATGAGCTGACAACTCAATTAGGTCTCAGTGTAATGCTGTGAAAAGCCAAGAAATGGAAGCTGTTAGAATTGCGGGAGGATTTATTCCCCAGATGTTAGCATTCTTCTTTCCTCAACATTTTTATTCCAGCGTTGAGAATTATCCTTTTTATCCTTCTCGGTTCTGGACTTGGTGACTGCAACATAACAAGAGTCAAGGTGAGGAGGGAGAGAGGCATGCCTCCTCTCTTGTGCCAGGAGAAAGGTGGTCATGAAGGGGAGGAGGAAGATTACTAGGGTGTTGTCAGAGCGATCCTGGGTGCAGGAATCTCCTCCTTTATAAATTGTCCTAAATGCCTTTTTCTTTCTGTTTTGTGTTTTTTTTTTTTTTTTTTTTTTTTGTAGTTTTAGGTACCGAGGATTGAACCCAGGACCTTAATACCAAGCTACACTTCTAAATCACCTTTCTTTTTTGTTTCTGTTTTGAGCCATGACCTCCCGAAGTTGCTAAATGGCCCATCCTGGGCTTGAACCTGCTGTGCTCTTGCCTCAGGATCCCCGAGTCCTGGGATTCCAGTGGTGCTTTTGAATTAGAGCTCCGTTAACACACTGGTCCCAGGCGTAGGGCCTTGGCAAGTTTTTCAGCTCTGTTGGCCTCTGCTTCCCAATTTGCAAAGCGAGGATGATAATGGCGTTTCCAACCTCAGCTCCTTGGCACCTGGCAGAGGTGAAATGACAATCAGGTTTCAAGTCCTTGGAGCCTGGTGAGAGCTGCTGTGTGTGCCCAGTATGCCACCACCCTGGGCAGCAGGCTTTATTCTGATCTTCTGCTACCACAGGGCAGAGTCCAGTGGAGCTGAAAGGTGCAGCCCCACCTCTTCCAGATGGGCCCCTCTGCCCTGCCTCGGGGTGCGGAACTGGAAGACGCCCCTGTCCTTAGGCCCACAGGCCTTCTCCCTTGTATCTTTCCCCTGGAGGGAAGCACCCAGCGGCCTACAGATGGCCAAAGTCCTTCATGGTGCAGACTGAGTGTCAGAAGGGAAGAAAAAGGCTGAGGGTTGTCGTCAGTGGAGTGAGGAGCTGGGCAACCTGTGGCCAGAAGGGGAGGATAAGCCTCACAGCCAGGAGGCATGTGAGCCTTGTAGGAGATGACCAGCATGGGCTTCGTAAGCGAGGAGGAGAGGACAAGGGAGGTGATGGGAGTCACCTGGGAAGGAAGGATCCTTTGCATTGCCCCCCCCCACCCCACCCCCCCCAGCAAAGCATGGTCCCAGGCAGAAAATAGAACTTACGTTGAATGTGTTCCGTCCACAGCAGTTGGCAGGAAGTTTTGCATTACACACGTGTGTTTTGCTTTCATTGTTCCCATTCCGCTGTCACTTTAGGCAGCTGACTATATTTGTCAAGATGGAAGGACAGAACTTTATTTGTGTAGCTATCTGTTACACTAACTGATAACTTGTCAATACTGAGAATTATGTGTGTGGATCTCAATTTGTACCCTTGACCCAGGTCCTGTTTACAGTAGTGTTGGAACTATTCCTGGTGTGATAAATATTTTGGAGAAAGAGGAAGTGGAGGAGGATGGGGAGAAGGAAGAAGAGGAAGAGGAGGGGAAAAGGAGGAGGAAAAGGAGGGGGAGGACAGAGGAACTGGATTAAAATCTAAGTCATTGAAAGTGAAGACTCCTGCTTTCCTTGGGAGCCAGTTGGTTGCCAGTGTACCTGGACGAGCAGGCTGGATCCAGCTGGTTCTCCTGGAGGGCTCTATGGAATGTTAGTGTCGGGACCCGCTGCCCCCCAAGTTTAACATTCATTGGGCTGGGGTCTGGCCAAGGTGCCCAGAGGTTTAAGAGCCACGTAAATGATCATAGTATATACTCTTGGCTGAGACCCAGTGGGCTGGAGGAATTCTCCGTGGGCTTCAGAGGGGCTCATCAGCTTTTGGGGGAGGGCGTGAGGACTGGGTTTTGCTTGGTGAGAAAAACTAGATCAATTGAATCTTAGAATATGGGCTTTTTGACTACTGTAACAGCTATTTATGTATTTATTTTAAAAGGAGACTTTTTTTTCCTAAAGATAATAAAACCAAACAAAATAAAATGGCATAAAGCCAATCAAAACAAAACAGTGGAAGTATTAGAGGATGTCAAAGCATGATATAGGAAATCAACACTGGCTACCATAATATATATTGTTATCTTTGAAGTAGCTGCCTATGCCGTCAGGCATAATAGAATTAAGCAAAATAAAACAAAACAATAAAACCAAACCAAACCAAACAATACAGAACTTTAAAACACTATGATAGGGAATTAACAATGGCTACCAACTTCAGAAGGAGATCCCCCCATAGACACTACATTGCGTATTGTTATCCTCCAAATAGATGCTCAGACTCCCAGCTTCAGGCCCACAGAGTCAATCAAACAACACAGACATGAAGTTGTTTTTTTACTTCAGTGGCTATCATCTCAGCCTGTATTTCTCTGATTCAGCCGGTTGCTTGGGCAGGAGGGAGTTCGGCCCTGCCTGCTCCCAGCCGGCAGGGTGGCCACAGGAAGAGGTTGGCTTCTGTTGCTTCTCTTCCTGGGATGCATGGCCGCTGCTGGGTCACTGTAGCTGCTTGTTAAAGAGCTGCCTACTAGGTGGGCTGCCAGGTATTGTTCAATGTCTCTGAATTTCAGTTTGGCCATTTGCACAATTTCTCACCTTTTAGAGTTGTCTTGGGGATTAAGAAGGAGATTTATAAAATGTTTAGAACAGTTGCTGGCGTGAGCAGGCACACTTTGGTGTTTCATAAACCAGAGCTGTTTTCTTCCCAGTGGTCCCTCATTCCTTGGTCAGGCGCAGACGCTGTCCTCCCTTGGGCCTTGATTCTTGAACTTGGTTTCCCTTAGCAAACTTCGGTAGCGCAGGCACACACAGCGGCTTGATTTGTTTCTGGATATTTACCCAGGAGCAAACAAACAGGCAGCACAGCTCAGTCTGTACCAGTTCCGCGATGAGGACTATGAAGGGAGCATTAAGGAACAGAACAACATATAATTAGCCAGATAGGCAACATTGCTGGGTTTGGCATTGGCTTTTACAGAGCTTTTATATTTCTGGGTATTTTAGTGCTGGGGATGGGGTTGCAATACTTGGAATAAAACGGAGAAGGTCTGGGTCCATGTGAGGAATGCTTTACCTCATGAGGTCAGGGCCAGCTGCTAGCGGACCTGTGCCGTTCCCAGGGTCCTGTGAACTCAGGGGCTCTGCCCGTGGCTTTGCACCCTGCGGAGCCATCGAGAAATGCCTGACAGTCCTGTCTTTCAGCTTGTGTTTTGCACATGAGGTCTGAAAGAAGGACACTGGTGTACCTTACTGCCTCCTTTGCATGGCTTTCAGGATGCTCCAGGAATACAGAAATCCGGGGAGCTCACTGGGGCTAGAGTCCAGTAAGATGCAAAGAGAACCAAATTAGCACCTTGCGTCTGCTGGGGTGCTGCCCTTGGAGAGGTTTCTCTTTCTAGTCAGAAGTTCCTTGAAAAACAAAAAGAAGCCAGGGTGGTTCCAGGAAATGTGACAGCTCAGGGACCCGACCACACGGTTTTTGTTTGTATTTTTACGTCTCCGTATCTATCTGTTGTTTATTGTGAAGGTGATGGCATGGGAGGAAAGGAAAGGCAGGGCTGCTCCAGTTCCTGTCCTTTGGCCCCTCCTAACTCATCGGTTAGGAGAGCTGAAGGCAGCCAGGGTTGGTGCAAGGAGGCAGCATCAAGAAGTGATGTAAAAGCGCCTGAATTGATTTTCTGCATTGTTGCTACCGTTGCCGTGAGAAGAAATAAATATACAGAGTACAAATTGCTCGTGCAGTTTCAGCGATTCTGTATGAGTCAAATGCTCTTCTGTTTGCACTTAAACTGGGATTGTCTGGTTTAAAAAAAAGTAAAACTGATGCCAAGAACTTAAAGTTGTAATTTTTCTTTACATGGAATCACATTCAATAATAAATGAAAGTGACCAGGACAAATTGAGAGGCCATTAGAAGAAAGGAAAAAGCTTTCTGTTTCATAATTTAAACAGCATTTCCCCCTCTGTGTTTTGAACAAGGCATTTTACATTTTCATTTTGCATTGGACCCTGCAAATTTTGTGGCCAGTTCTATCTGGGTTACAATGCCATACAAGGCCATAGGCGGTCTTTCTGTACCTACTTAAAAATTTAAACTTCTTGAAAGCAGTTCTGCAAACCAGGTGGCTGATGAGGGGTCTTTGAAGAACCTTTGGGTGAACATCTTTTACTTTCTCAGCATCCATTTCTTTACTGTTCAATTTTATTCTGGCAGTCATCCTCTGTGTGCTTTGGTGGTAAGGGTCACTCCCACACTTCAAAGGGGGGTAAGTCACCTAGACAGAGGTCAGTGAAAACGCCATAATTTCTTGGCCTTAATGATTGGCTCAAAGGAGAACATGTGACCCAGTCGCAGCCAATTAAATGTAAGAAGTCTCAGGCTAGGCATCTTGGGAAAGAAATTCAGCTTGTAGTTGAACCCGGAAGTGAGTTAGTTACCGGTTGCTGCCATCTTGCCAGCGTATGTTTGACCTGCGAAAGAAGTGAGTTTATATAGATAAGGAGAAAACCAGTTTTTGGGGGTAATGTCTGAATTATTAGCAAGTTGAACCTAAAGCCAGATCTACCCTTTTCAATTACACAAGCAATAAAATCTCCATTCTTTAACTAGTTTTCCCTCTTATTACTTATGACCCCAAAGAACCCTCATTGATAAGCTTATGCTAAATTATTGAGTTTAAAATGCTGTTTGAATTTTTGTAATTTAAATGAGACAATAATGGAGATACAGCAGGGTAGTATTTTGCCAGACTCAGTTTATAACTGTGCTTTCCTTTATATATCTCATCACATGAGAAGCTGCTTTTTGTGGTCTCTTTCCTTGGGAAGGTTTGGATAGGCAGGAAGCTGAAATGGCCTGAAGGAAGGAATTAAAATTCTTCCTGGATTCCTTCTTTCAAAGCCCAAGTAAGTCACGGGTGGGGCTTTTGGGGCCCCTCTGGCCCTCAAGACATTTTTAGTTGGCTCACATAATATTTTAAAAATGGGAAGATAATGCCTAGTATCTGGATTAGAATACCTGGCAGGTCAGGGAGAACACTGACACAGTGAGATTTACTGAAAATGCCAAGGGAAGGGGGTGACGGGCGGGCCTGGGCATAGATGGGACCCCCCTTGGTCAAGGCTTCTAGACTGCCACCCCAGGGCTGTTCCTACAAAACTGTGTTTGGTGCAGTTTTCCACAAACACGGTCATGCAGGGGAGAGGCATCCTTCAGACAGGGCTCCCTCGCAGCAGAGCTCGGGAAGGGAGCTGGGCGCCCTCATGGTACCTGTGTGGACTTCTGTGATCAGAAGGTGGGGTTTTACGCAGGGACTCTGGGAGTGGAGGAGGGGAAGCAGTGGCGGAAACGGCCTCCAAGGCCACGGCTGCCCACCTGGCCCTCCCCTGACTGTTTGCAGTGAATCACGGCTACTTGCGCAAGTCCGAGCCAGGTTGCCTCACGTAATTTTACATAATGTCTATAAACCCTTCCTGTAATCGTGACTCATGGTCATGCTTCTACTCAGAATTTTGTTAAAGCCGAGTATTTCAGGGAGAAAAATGCCTGAGTGATGCTGAAGCCTTTCAGAGAACTCAATTAAGGGAGGCAGAATGGTCAGGGCCACCAGTTGCTACCAATGTCCTTCGTCACTGAGAGCCCAGTGGAGCATGCAATCTCATTTCTTTTGTCTTTCTCCTATATCATTTTTGTTGGAATCAGAGAAACAACATATACCATCTTTTGAAATGTTCAAATAGCATATAAATGTGCAAATGAAAAAAAAAATGCAAGGTTCCTTACCTCCTCCTCCCCCACATTCCCAAGCTGTCCATGTAACCACGGGGAGGGTATGGGGCATTCTTTTGGGACTTTCTATATGAACGTAGAGTTTTTAACTTATTTAATTAGCTGCACTGATGTTTTTCCTAAATACGTAGTTTGGAAAAGACATAAAAATATTTTAAAAATATATTCCCAACTTTTTTCATCTATCTATCTATCTATCTATCTATCTATCTATCTATCTATCTATGAAAAGTTCATATGTATATATGTAAACTTCAAAAAAGAAGGTGGTGTCATAAAATGACCTTATAGACAGAAATGTGTGGGTCACATTCTATAGCTAAAAACATCTGGGTTTACAGATTCTGAAGAAATCACCTAAACATTGCACAGCCCCCCAGCAGCCTTGCTAGGATTTGAATCCAGGTCTATTTGGCCCATGTCTTGGTCGCTTTTGCTACACTTTCTGTGTTAACAGAGACCTACCCTGTTTTTAATGGAAAATTCTGGAGAATTTCCTGGTATCAGCATGCTGGTTAGAAAGTGTCCCTGTGGATAGGTTTTCAGATGAGCTGAAGGTGACTGTTGGTCTTCTTCTTCTTCTTTTTTTGGGTACGGGGGATTGAACTCACAACCTTGCACTTGCCAGGCAGGTGCTTATGCCACTGAGCCAAAGCCCCGGCACTCGGGCAGCTTCTGATTCTAAGTTTTGTTCTCATGCCGAATGTCCTCCGTGGCTCGAGCTGAGCTGTCCCTCAGCTGCTGCTGTGCAGCGGCCTCACTCAGCCCCCACACCGGAGTGCGTGCTCAGCTCTTCTTTGGGGGTGACGGGCTGTGCTGTGATAGGACTGTTGGCGAACGTGGCATTCCTTCCTCCTCTTTTCCTGAAGTCCTGTCACCCGTACATCTGCTGGCTGTGAAGGGATAGCACATAATCACTTCCCCACTCCTCCTTGAAGGCCACGAAAGCCTGGAGAAGTCCATCTCTCGCCGCTGCTTTGGCTCCACACATGCGAATGTGGTTAATTTTATGTATCAGTTTATCTGACCCATGGCACCCAGAAATTAGGTCCAACAATATTACCGATCTTTCTGTGGAAGACCTTTCTGTGGTGGTGACGGCCTTGGGGCTTGAACCCCGGGTCTTTGCACTGAGTACACCCTTAGCCCTTTTTTGTTGTTGATTTTGAGACGGGGTCTCACTAGGTAGCTAGGTTGCCCAGGCTGATGTCTGATTTGTAATCTTTCTGCCTCAACTTCCCAGCGTGCTGGGATAACCGGCATGTGACACTGCAGCTGGCTGAAGGTGTTTTTAAGGATGAGATTGAAGAACTAGGATGAGCTTAGCACTTACATCCGTACACTTTTAGTGAAGCTGAATTACATTCCCCAGTGTGAGTGACCTCAGTCAGTTGAAAGCCTCCATGGAAAAGACTGAGCTCCCCAAGAAGAAGAGGGGTTTGGGATTTGCACTGCACCCCTCGCTGGGTTTCCAGCTTCTGTTTGCATCGCAGATTTTGGAAATGCCAAGCTTTCCGCATCACGTGAGTGAGTTCCTTGAGATGAATTTCGCATCTCACCCTTGCCTGCCTTCTGTCTTGCTGATTCTGTTTCTCCAGAGAGAAATACATAGTGACTTAGTTATCATCTGCATCGGGGCACTTTCCACTATCGATCCAATGCTTTAATTTGAATCTAACCTTTTGGGTGAGTACTTTAATTATGCCCCCTGACCCCACAGAGTCCTCTGTGCCCCTTTTTCCTCTGTCAGGGGACCCTGTGCAGGATTATGCGTAGTGTTTAGTTACATGCCCCTCTAATCGCCTTTATTTATTTGCTACTGCAGACTGAACTCAGGGCCTCACACACGTGAGACAAGTGTCCTGCCTGGAGCAGCACCCGGGCCCCTTTTAAAAATTTTGTTCTGAGACTGGGCCTTGCTAAGTTGCCCAGGCCTCTGCAGCTGGACACAGGCGTGTGCCCAGCTTGATTTTAGCTGGAGTATTCCTGCAGCTTCTTTCTTTTGCTTTGAGGTACCTGACATTCTTGAGTGATTCCCTGCCAGACAGCGGGTCACGTTTGTGGTTTGTTTGCTGAGCTGAGACTCGGGCCTTGCACCTGCAGTCTGCCGATGACTTGGTGGATACTGTGTCCCCCTAGGTTGTCTCACCTGGAGATGCACAGTGTCCATCTGCTCCTCCTAGAGATGCTGAGTTTTGTCACCTAGTTGAAGTGCTGTCTCCACTGCACAGGAAGTATTTTTCTGTGATATTTAAAAATCACTTTTGTGTGGAGGTATTTAAAGATCTATTAAATGAAAATTTCAAGAAGCAATTGTTTTGGACTGGGTACCTACACTGGGCCCATCAGACCAGGCTAAGAATAAAAATGGGATCACTGACCAACAGAAATAGTACGTTTTTATGTCACCATCCTGGCACTAACTATTGATCTACCCCACCACCTGAGGAATCAAAATTAGAGGAATAATAGCCAGATTCTCAACAACCTTCCCTTTGCCTTTATCCCTACACACACACACACACACACACACACACACACACACACACACGGAATGGAGCAAACTGATACTATTTTTCTATTGTTCTCTGTCCCTGTCCTCACTTTACAAGGAAAACAGTGTTGGGATGACCAGTCCACTTTTTGACCTTTGTTTCTGCTTTCTTTAACCCTTCTGCTTGGTTCTTTGGAAAACTGATTCTATTTCATAAAATAAAGTGTTGCCTGAGCCTAGAATCACAGACACTGCCTATCAATACTTTAAACTACACTGTCATTTTGTCTTTGATAGATCACAGGTGCCCTGTCCCTCATCTGAAGCTCCTCCTGGACTTTGGTGGTTTTTGCACAAACTGGTCTTTACTCTGATGGTTGTTTAGGTTTAGGAAGCTGTCCCCCCAAGTCTCATGTGACTGAATGGCAGGATCAGGGAGCTATTGTGCTCACCCGTGGTTATCCATGGATGGCGGTGCTGTTCGGAGGTGGCACTGGATTGTCAGGTGGTGAGTGGGGTACCACCTGGAAAGCTGTGTTCTTGTCCCCAGCTCCTCCCTTTTCTGTTTCCTAGCTGCTGGGGCAGGCGTAGCTTTCCTCCTCCACAACCCTCTGCCATCCTGTACCTCTGGAGTCAGCTCACCATGGCCTGAACCCACTAGGAACCATAAGCCAGGTAAGCCTGGATTCCCTTAAATTGAGGGTGTCGGGTTATGTGTTAGCGATGGGAAAGTAAGCAATGAATGGTTTACTTTTACTTCCAACTAAAATGATGATGTCACAAGTCTGCCACTTTTAACTTTTCTGAGTGGGCAGTTTACCTTCTACTGCACATAAGGAACTCCCCTCGATCCTTTATTTTTTGTATTTGTTTACTTAGCTCTAGTTTTCAATAGCATGGGCTCACAGATTCCTGACTTTTCCAGTGGTTTATAATTCACTGCCATCCTGAATAATTTTGCTGCTCAAAATGTCCCAGATTTAGCCGGTAGGAATCATTTCTGTTGACCTGCTCCTAAAGGTGTAGGTGTATTTATTTTCTCATGTGACAAAATGTTTGCTGCTCTCCTCGGACCTTCCCTGCTCCAGCCACGAAATGAGCAACTTCTCTAAAGAGCTCAGCTTTTTCCTTCCAGCAGGCAACCTTTGGGGAGTGTGCAGTGTTCTGGGCACTGGGTACGTGCCCTGCTGCTGGGCTGGCCTGGCCTCTAGGAGCTTTCAGCAGACACACTCGTGAATGTGCGCACACACACGCGCACACACACACACACACATACACACACACACACACACACGCGCACACACACGCACACCCATCACCCGTCGGCTTGGTGACGGAATACCTTAGAATAAAACTTAAAGGAGGGAAGTTTATTTTGGTTCACACTTTGAGCCCACAATTCACACAGCTCCACTGCTACGAGGCAGAGGAACGGGGAGAAGAATAGAGCAGAGCCAAACTGCTCACCTCCTTACAGCCAGGGAGCAGAGAGCGAGAGGGGAGAGGCAGAGAGGAGAGGACTGGACGCCATGTAACCCCTCAGGTCACACCCCAAGACCCGCCTCTCCAGCTACATCTGCTTCCTAATGGCCCTTCAGCTCTGTGGGTGAAGCCGCACGGTGAAGTTGGGCTCTTAATGTCCGGTCGCCTCCCCCAGACCCATCAGCTGGAGACCATCAGGTGGCCTGGGGACCTTTTCGGTCCAAACCATCACACACCCACTTGAGCAATTGTGAGTTCACACCAGTACTCTGATTGCAGTGGGTCCTCAGATATTTCTCCCTGCCTCCCCACATTCTGTTTTTAGCTCTCAGACTGGGACTCTGCAGAGGGTCAGGGGTGCTATAAATAATACACAGCTAGAGGAAGCAGAGAAAGGGGCATGTGCCACATTCATTCCCACGATTCACGCTTCCCGGTAGCTATTATGACGTCTGGGACCTTACTGGAGAAGCCCCTTAAGTGTCCCTCAGCCTCAGCTTCCCCGCCTGTAGAATGGGAGTAGTATCTTGCCCTATGTGACTTGTTTTGGGAAGAACAGGCAAAAAATGTACATCACCCATTCACAACATGCCTTTTACTGACGTAGGCACAGCTGTTTGGGAGGGCATCACGGGGATGGCTGCAGCAGTCACACAGGCTTCCCGTAGGAGGAGCTGCCTTTAACCGAAAGCCACTTCTTACTTAAGAAAGGGAAGGGAGTCCCTGTGGTTTATGTCACCTCCCAGGTTTCAGGGGTGCTGGAAACTCAAGCAGATGGAGCATGAGGCCTGGTGGTCAGCGTAGGATTGATTTGCTGCTAGCTCCCTTCCTGAGGGGAGCTCGATGCCTTGAGCAGTAGCATTCCATTTTCCATGAAGGCACAAATGCCGAAAATTATAAATAGAGGTACATTTTACACCATAGCCTTTTGTGCTCTCCAGCTGCTGCTTTCATAGCCTGGAGGCACTTTGCCAATTTTATTGGAAATGCTAAGGAGCACCCAGGGAGTTACTGAGTGAACCATTAACTTGCTTCTTCCAGGACCTGGAGCTGGCACCAAAGAGGTGGTTCCTTAGGGTAGGAGTGTTCAGGTGTGACACCTTCCTCACTCATCATGAGGGTCGGGGCCGCCTTCCTCAGCAAAAGACAGCTTAATAAGAGAAAGGAGAAATGAATTTATTTAATCGAAGTTTTACACGATACTGGCGATTTTGTATGTGAATATCCGAAGATCCGGGCAACTTCTCCTTCCACACTTGGCTTTCGTGAGAGGTGTGTAGCTGTGTGACTGGGCCAGGGGTCCGATCCGATGCTATGGACAGAGGGGACCCAGCAGAGCCTCCTGCTCAGACTCCTCCTGGCCTCTCCATGCAGCCCCTGGGACGGGGCACGAGCCCCGGCAGTGAGGGTCTTCCAGGGAGAATGGAAGGCAGAGTGTTTGTAGCTATTATAGCCGGTTTGGGAGGAGAGGCTTTCAGTTTCCTGGGGAGGAGGAATCTGGATTCTATGACTCACATTGAGAGCAAAGGACAGGAAGGCAGGGAGAAGCCCTCCCAATGTCTAGCTCAAAGTCCTCAGTGTGCTCAGGTGCATACTTTGGGGATACCACGTTTTGAGCCCCAAGAGCATCAGGATACAGGCTTGGGGGCCTATAGTTTTAGGGCCCAAGCTGCTAGTGGGTGCATACAGTTGCAGATCCAGATTCTACCTCCTTCCCCCATGTGGCCTGGGGGGCTCACCTGGGGGCTGGGGGAGCCCCATTTCTTCACTCATTGCAGGTGAGAAAAAAGTGCCCTGCAGCTCGGTGGGGATTCGAGACCTGCCCTTCAGGCTCCCACCTCAGCGCCTGCAGGGGCCTCCTGTCCCTCTCTGGGCTCCTCTGCCCTTCCTGCTCATCAGCTCCCACTGCTCCCCGGGGAACCACAGCTTCCGGTTCTGTGCTCCCAGAGGCCCTGAAGTTTCTGGCAGAGCTGCTGTGTCCGCTGCCTCTTTGCTGATGCAGCAGTTTGGGCCACACTCCTCACTGTCACCTCTCTACACTGCTCACTGCCCCACAAGTTGCCGGGATTGCAGCTTCCTGAGCTTCAGCCTTCCACAGGCTCAGTCACAGGGGTGTGGGGTGGAGCGATCAGAGTGGGAGCAGAGCGCATGTGGCTGGGGTGTGGATTCCTCTGGTTGCCTCCTGCACCCCCTGGTAAAAGGCCATGACTTTTCAAACAAGGCTCGCTCTCTCTCTCTGTGCCCTCTAGACCATAAATTTTCTCTCTTCTTTGTCTCTGAGCTTAGTGTCTTGAGTTACCACTCTATTTCTTGTGGTTTCCTACCTTGTAAGCAATGTTCTTGTGTATAAATCCTACCTGAATGACCGTGATCTGAAAGGCTCACCTGCTTTCTGATAGCTTCCTGATTCAGTTGTCCCCTTGCTTACCCTCATGGGCAGGGAGGTGTGTGTCACCTGGCAGGATTTCCCACAGGGGGAACACTCCCAGGGCATCTTTCCAGTGTGAGGTCCATCGTGGTGCTCAGTGAAGACTGATCTCTGCTTGTGAGTTTAACCCATTGATTACATCCCTTAGGATTTTCTCCTCTACGAACTGTCTGCTGCATAATGAGATCTGAACGAGCTTTGAAACCAGGGCTTCCCTGGTTTCAAAGTGATTATATTCGTAAGGTTCCCCTGCATGACTTCATGACATCTAATGAGATGCACCTCAAAGTTAGCTTCTCTAACTGTGCGTGCCCAGGGTTTCTGGCTCAGGTAATGTTTCTCTTCTAGGGTGCAAGGTGTTCTATCTTTAATCTTTTTTCTCTCAGATTCATTCCTTCCACAGCAGTTGCCTCCACTGTGAACCCCAGTGCATGCTGAACTTTGCGTAGGGACTGAAGGCTCTCGCCTGGGGATCACAGTCAGAGGATTTTACTCCGATATTGGATGAGGCAGAGCAGAACGATTTCCCCACCTCTCCCGCAGTGATCGCCTCTTCCTTGTACAGCTTCCGTAATGACTAGCCCAGTCTGATGTAGGTTTCAGACTCCTTCAAGGTGTATCACACACTGAAGAGATTTTAGGTCTCAAAGAAATGAATTTTTCAGGTTCAACCAAGATGTTTTCCAGCATTGTTAGCTTCACTGTGGATCCTGTTGGTCTGGGTTTTCCTGTGAGGTGTCCTGTGTGTGTGTGTACGCTCCAAAGGGCGCTTCTTTCTCTGTGGTCAGCATGCCAAATCATCCTTTTTTTATGTACATATTTTTTTCTAAAGTAGAGTATAATGAAATGTTTTTCACAAGTCTTTCTACCCTACATCTCCAAAACTGTATTGCCGCTCCTTAGTCCTGGCCACTTTTCCGGTATTACAGGGGACTCACATGCAAATACCCTCCTCCGCTCTCCGAACACCTCTGGCTCCCAGGAGAATTACGCTGGGCAGGGGGGCTTTTCCCTGTTTCTGATCTGGCTGCTTGTTCCTGCCTAAAGTTCACATCTTGGTTGCTGTCTTGCTGCTCCCTGGAGGCTTGGTTCTGGGGGTCACCAGTGTCCCTCCCCATGGGATCTGTAGCTGCATTTGGGAATGTCACCAATGCCCAGCCTTTCCCAAGTTCCCTGGGAAAGAGCGGGAGCCAGTGGGATTGGAGTTGGCTCAAGGCACGTTTGAGTTAAACCCTCCGTCATTACACAGCTGCTACGGTCTGGAAGGTGGTGACTTCATGAAAGTCTTCTCTCCTTTGGGCACAATGGTCAAAAGCAGACTGAAACCCGCAGCCGAGGCTGTGTCCTGACATTTTGGTGCAGGTCTCGGGGCTGAGAGGTGTCCTCTCCAGAGAGACTTTGTTCTGACCTCATGAGAATTGGGGTATTTTTCTGCCGAGCAGAGATCACTGCTCCAAGTAGCCCCTCAGTTCTGCAGAGGGGCTCTGCAGTTCTGCAGCTCACATTGCTCCCCAATGCTCGCCCGCAGGGAGGCTGGACATGGGTGGCCACGTGGCCTCGCACGTACGTCCTATCTTCCGATGGATGCAGATAAAGCTGTTGCTAAGCTTTCTGCTGCTACGAACCAGGGCAGCCACAGATGTCGGTTTTTCTACAGCCTCCAGCTGTGCTTTGTCACCGTTCTTCCAGATTCCACCTGCCACCTCCGTGAAGCCTCTCTGGCCTTCTCTTGCCAGCAGGTCCCCCAGCCAATGTCACATGTTTT